TTTTCTGCCACATAGAATGCAAATACGGTGATCATCGTAAGTGAGCATCGATATATGGCACTCTTCACACTTTCGTCCGAAAGTGTTTGAATCCGAAGTGCTGGGATGAACGGTGTTCAACTCTCCGGTATCCATATTTTCCGCCATCGTGAAACTGAAGGCGGGCTTTTGAGTTTCGTTACTAAAACTACAATTTTTTACTCAAGGTGACTAAGTACGAAGTTCTTGATGTCCACAAGAGCTTCCTGACACACTAATAGTTCGGTGGCTGTGTTGATGGGTGGTAACAATGTATTTCCACCGCAAAAACAATGATATTTTGGCAAGCCCAAATTTCAACCGTGAATCAATCTCGTGGTTAAAAATGGAAGTATGCAAATCAGATGACAGGGGAAGGACGCCCCCTACGGGAGCTATCCACTGTTATTTCGATTCTATTTAACCAGTATATATGATAATTGGCAATTATCCCCATTTGTTTATGAAATTAAAATTTCATTAACCAAAGGGGTTAGTATGCAATACTCTGTAATAAACTGTAGTGTCATCATCCAACATGGTATACAAGCAGTGATGTATTTTACCTGATATTCTAGATGTGCCATCATCTATAACAGTGAGATCTGTTGATATAGAAGTCAAACCCGGTGATGCCACATCTTCTAATTCACCAGCTTTACTTGTACTTTCACTACCTCTAGAAATTGCATCATCAGTCCCTACCATGTCACCACCATCTTTCCATAGACCATGTGACTAAAAACAAAACATTATAGTGTAATATGCATCTTTATAAAACTTTTGTCTTTGCTGACATATCAGGTGTCACCATTTCAGATTACATGTTATTAGAAGTTAGAGGTCATATCCATATATGCAGTCATAGTACCAGGTATGTATGAGTATTTTCTTTCTTTCTAAATTCATACATACAATGTATCTTACCTTCAATACAGATCTATGGAAGAATAAAGCTAATAATATAGCTAGATCATACGCAGCATAGCTGTCTCTCTTGTCAATACCAATTACTCTAGGCCACCAGAAAGGATCATCCATATGCTCAATCCGTTCTGGCTCTGAATTCCAAGGCCAAAACCCAAACTGGAAGAAGAACTTCACAAGCACGACAATCTAGAACAAAGTTGAATCATTAATTTCATATATCATGACAGTTTCAAGTGATACAAACAAGAAATTAATTCTGTATCCCTATGTTTGTAGAACACTACATGGAAAGTCTGCCTACAAACTTTTAAAAGCTATGAAATAAATTCATGGATCCTATAATATCAACTTTTTTTTCTTTAATTTGTTAAAACTCATCCGGGTGATCTTCAAATGATAAAGCGAACAAATGTTAATCTACACAACTAACCCTACCTCAGTATATGATATAGCACAGATCCAGTATCGCTTTGTTGGTCTTGGTACTGTCAATGTTGCCCATAGAAACACAGAGATAGGATAAGGCAGTGATAATAAACTTGCTTCTACAATTTGACTTAGTATCATCAGAAAGTAGCAAACAATTTGAGACTGGGCAATGATGGCATAGAGCACCGAAAACAGCAATCTGACTGGACGTGATAGTTTTTGTCGCCGAGCGACTTCTCCATCTTCATTTATGTCATCCATATATTCAAAATCATCAGCACTAAAAAGAAACAGCAAACATTACTAATTGCAGACATTGAGCATTATACAGTTTTATATTTTCAACTCACTTTCAGTATTTATAAATCATTCAAAATGACATTCTAGAATTATTTTAGGAATACGAATAAAACAAGTGCAATACATCGAGATGCTTGGTCCAGCAAACAAGTGCAAACTGTACTAAATTAACTGACACAATTATCTGTACCATTTATTGAAAATTGATCTTCACTAAGAACACTATGTATGTATATTTATATTCAGAAGCTAACTATTGGTGTATACTGATACTCATTGAACAGTAATTTACCAAATTTACATGTGGATTTGGTCCAAAGGATCTGATGACTAATGTATAAACCAATAAATAGACATACATGTATTGGTATAATTTGTCTAGCATGGTCTAGGTAAAGCTACGTATTACATGTATGAGATAGTGGTTTATCATGAAGATCAACCATTTAATGAGCTGATGTAAACATCATGAACATACCAGTATGCATTATCATGTGCCATTATTGAACCATGTTGATTGGTTGAGATGATAACATAGACTGGATGATAATAACCTTACCTGTGAGGGGGTGGTATAGGTGGGATGAATTTGGTTTGTGGCTCCTTTGTTTTAACAATAGCACCAGTTCTAAATGAAATTTTAAATCACGATGCATGTTGTAAATACATGTACAAAAGAAATGAGGAAACAATGGCATGTGTGGTGGTGTAAAGACACGTTGGTAAACAATGTATAAACATAATAATGTAATAATATTTTCCCCCATTCATATGAAGTTTCGGTGATCAAAATGTGATCAATTAAAAGAAAGAACAGATAGGTAACTGGCAAAATGATATACAATGAACAGTTAGACATTAGTGGTTGAACATAACTAATAATGATCACTCGATTTTTTTCTTAATCCATGCTTAAATTTATGTAACAAATATAAATACTGAAACATTCCAGATTGATTGAGAAACTTGACTTATTATTGGAGACATCTGTGAATGTCAAGAAATGGCCAAATTCAATTTTTTTCTTTACATGCATGTTATATTAAAACATTTTACCTTCTCAGTGAGCTATCATCTGACATCTGTGACCTTTCATCAATATCTTTGTCACGTTGAGACGATGTACTTATCCTATCATCATCTCTAGGGCGTGTTTCATCTTCTAATCTGATACTAATTCTATCCTCATCCTTTTGCTGTAAAACATTCATTGATATCTGATTCAGTTTTTTTCTCAATTCTCTTTTATTTGTGAGTAGAAATAGTTTATTTAATATAAGTAAAAATCATATGTGCAGTGCATTTAACAGATTGGACATTCCATGAAAGGGATGTGTGAACATCTTCCTATATATAACACAATGGTAATTTGATGCCCTATTCTGGCTTTCACCATGTCCAATAGAATAGAAGCACCAATGCCATCTCAATAGCGAATAAATCATGACCATTCATTTTGACCTACCCAAGCAACACATAGGATATGAACTTCACACAAATTTCATTTATTGGATATAGACCAACCTAAACTAACACTTGATTATATTTGA